GCTTTCCGTCGGGACAACACAACCTCGAACTAAAATCTAATACTTTTTTCCCTTGTATAATAAATAACTATTGTCACATTTCACAGCAGTATATTCACAACCATAATTTTGCTAATTCCGTGAGTGGACCTTAGGATTTTCAATGGCATATAATTTTTCCGGGTTTTCTTCAATTTTGACACAACCACTTCGCGCAAAGTTATTATGGAAAATTCAAGGACCCATAACATTCAGAATCAATCTTGAAAGTTCATTCTGTATTGAAGATCATTGGAATTAAAATAACACGTATATTGGGGACTAGCAACCGGCCCTGGATCCGCACGGGTGCAATGCTGATACTAAATATATTATAGAATGTGAACACAGCTGTTTTTTAGTAGACAATACAAACATGTTTTCTATAGAGGTCACTTTTGAAAAAGCGACATATAATTGGCACGGTTCCGCCGCATCCGCTATGTCCTTGCATTTTAAATCTGTAATATTTTCTAAAACATTCATTGAAATTACATGCTGTAAGAAGCCAGATCGATCACATTATGGACATATAAGATAAAAAATTTATTAACGATACTTTTATAAATACGCCTTTTCCTCCGCGGCTGGCAGGGGAAAAAGGCGGAATATTCAAAAATCCTATTTTATTGCACATCCGGAACATAAAATAAACCTTCATACAAAAGTTCATACTTAGAAAATACAGCGGTGGCGAAAAGGTAATTTTCATATGTAAACGCGCCCCTCTTACCCCCACGAGTGACGTCACAGTTGAAATATTTGAAAATCTTCTCTTAGTGCACCTGAGAAGCACTTATATACCAAATTTAAGTTTCCTAGGACTTTCTCATTTATAAGTATAGATTTCATAAACTATCTAGAATAGTTTCTTTTGTTAAGTAATTACAATAGCTCGTTACCTCATTATAACATAGTTGTGTGTAACAATGATGCATTTTGAGAAAAATCGATATCAAAAATTAAGGTCAACTATAAAGTTTTCAAAAGTTGATTTTAAAAAAAACTTTGAAAATTATAAAATGGTTTACTTTGTAGGTGACCTAATTTTTCAAAACAGTTTTTCTCAAATCAGCATAGTTGTTACATACAACTATGTAATATTAGGATAACGAACGTATTCAAAAAACACTTTATTGTGAGATTTTCACTAAACAGTTTTACAAAAACGCAACACGTGTTTTGTCATACAATGGCTTCTTCGGGCGTGTCTTTACATGAATCAGTTATTTTTCCTATAAGTTTTCCAAAAGTGAAGTGAACTACTCAGTTACTGAGAATGTCTGGCACTACTATAAACAGTTAAATTTTTCAGAATATATCAAGAGGGAATCAAATTTAAAATTCTTACTGACCATAGAGCCCTTACACAACTTTTAACATTAGGTCACTCAAGAGATCGTTTGGCCAAATGGCAGATATTTTTGAGGAGTTTTGAAATCATTAATTGGGGAAAGAAATAGAAGATGCAGATGCTATCTCAAGATTATGTATAGATGTTTCACAGAAAGTTCCAGAAGTATTTTGGTGTAATCTCTTTATTCACGATTTGGAGGAAATGAGAAATATCTATTCGAAAGTGAAAATATGAAAAAAGATATCTTAATGCTTCATCATGATGATCCTGAATCAGGAGGGCACAATGGTTACTACAAAAGTATTAAAAAATCAGCAAAATATATTTTGGAAAGGTATGAGTACAGATGTAAAGTATTACATTAAAACTTGTGAAACTTGCCAACACGTTGAATTCAAATATCTGCCAAAATCAAATTATGTTCACTTATCAAAAAGTTATAATAATAACTTTGAAACCATACACATTGATTTTTCAGAGTTAAGTTAAAAGTCTGATATCAGTAGAACAACAAAATCATTCGTCATTTTAAGCGATGAGGCAACAATATTTGTTAATGGTAGAATCTGAAGCAAAGTGGTCAAGCTTTGAAGAATTATTTCATGATTCTTCCTTTCAAAGATAAGGTGAAAATATTGTGACTGATTGTGGCTCATTCTTTACCTCTGAAATATTCTTTGAACGACATAAAGCTGAGGAAATAGTTTAGCAGAAAGAACAATTCAAGATATCAAAATATTTGAATAACAGAGGTTGGAAAAATAATTTAGAAACTGCAATTCATCATCATAATTATTCGTATAATCAATATCTAGGATGCTCACCAAATTTGAAACTTTATAGCAAAGGAACAAAACTGCAAGCTGTCGAAGAATAACTGAAATAAAAAATGAGGGTTCAAGAACAAGCTTATAAAGGAAGAAAATTAAGAACACCAGCATTGAAAGTTGGACATTGGATTCTGGAACCTCCGGGAGGATCCAGAATCCAGGGAGGATAGTTGTTGGTTCACAGATGGATCAAAAACACCTTCTGGTTCTGGTGCAGTTGTTTTCAGTTGCAGACCCAGGACAGAGATATCAACCTCCCTAGGAACCCATGTGACTGTATTTCAAGCGGAAATTTACGCTAATGAATTGTGTGCAGAAAGATTGGAAGAATCCAACCTCATACACAAGTCAATAAAAATATTCTCGGACAGTCAAGCGGCGTTGGCAGCTCCTACCGAGCACCGTCTAAATTGGTAGGAAATTGCCAAAAACGACTCTCCTCGGTAGGAAGACTCAATAGATTGTCTCTGGTGTGGATTCCTGGCCATACTGGACTGGAAGGCAATAAGGCTGCTGTAAGCAGCTTCATCGGACCAGAACCTGTCATTGGCATTGCTTTAGGTTTTGCCAAATATAGATTGAACACCTGGATGGCAAGAAGATTCATGGACTTCTGGCAGAATCTTCCAGGATTGGCTTACTCCAAGGCGATTATTCACCCTTTGAAGCTTGATACCAAACAGGTGTTGGACTACAGTAGGGATGAGCTACGATGTCTTAACAGGCCTTCTTAAAGGTCACTGTCATTTGAATCATCGGAACTGTCGAAAGACAGTGTGTGTTGCCTCTGTTTGGAAAATGATGACTCAGCAGAGCACATACTTTGTGCCTGCCCTGCTGGAGACCGAATCAGGTTTTTACAGTTCGGCAGAGCCGTACTATTATCGTCTGACCTGAAAGACCACTCACTATACAAGCTAATCGGCTTTGTTAAGTAGCTGGGTTTATTTGGTAGAGTGTGAATAGGTGTGAGCCACAATAAACTCTTGCGGGTTGTTATGGAGGGTCGAATAGACCCACTCACTTTGGACCTAACCTAATCTAACTTACTGGAGAATTATTTCGATATTCCGATATTTCCAATTTTATAAGTTTCAATGGAAAAACAATAAAACTTTAGTCATCGGTGTTTATAATATTCAATGGAAATTTTGAATAATCACAACAAATGATCAAAATGGCGTCTTCGTATCATCCTACAATCCCTACATTTTTTAATGAACGATATTTTTACGAACATTGCATAACATTCAGACTACCTCTATAAATAGGAAAAAGTATTTGGGTACAAAGTGATGGATACCCATCACATTTTCAAATCGGAATCTTTTCGATTATTTCCATCGACGTTTCTTGAAACAACTCATAAGCAACTCCAGTATCCACTGAATCAGACCTCCGAAGCAGAATTCAATCGGCTGCATAGCATATCAACTGTGAAAACAATACAAGAAGGATGGTAGTCCACAATTTTAAACATTTGTTCTATAAATTTAGAAATCTGAAAAATTGCTCTTTAGCAGTTGAATAGTAAGTATTAGAAGTAACATATAAAAAAAAAATAATACCATTGTAGAATCTATACGTAGACTGTTCAGAAAATAGGGTTAATGTTCAAATTTCGGTCATAACTGGTAACGAATCATGGGTATACGTTTATGACATCGAAACCAAAGTCCAATCTCATAAACTACACCTTACAATTTGATCTCCAAACTTTATTTTAAAAAAATATTACGAAATGTTTTGCAAACAGTAGCATTTTCATAGTGAATAACGTACTAGTCCAATCGTCACAATGAAAAAGCCCAGGAGAGCCAAGACCAATTCATGGCTTTTGCATCATCATAATGCACCTGCTTACTCATCATTTCTTGTTCGTACTTTTTTGGCTAAAAACAACACCGTTATTCACGCCACAGCCACTGTATTCACTAGATTTGTCCCCTGCGACTTTTACCTGTTCCCAAGATTGAAGAGACCCATGAAAGGACGGCGTTTTGCGACGACTGAGGAGATAAAAATCACATTGCTGAGAGTTCAAACAAACACCAAAAAGTGCATATCAGAACTTCTACAAGGTTTGGGAAAAAAACACTAGCACAAGTGTATTATATTTAAGGGTACAAAATAGAAATTGAAGAATATTTAACAATTTTTTTCAGAAAAATGAAAATTCGCCTTATTTTTTGAACAGACAGCAATATATAGAAAGTTTTTCAAACAGATTGGTACATGAACTTCAGCATATTTTTATGACCATTGTTTCAGAATCAGCTAGACAGGCTAGCCATAAAAATTGGTGTTTTAGTTTTTCAAGAGGGAAATCTGCTGAAGTTTTAAAATTATTTCTTATGTCATATGAAAACCCTGACTGACAAATATATATATGTTTATCCGTACATATGCTCAAATATCTGAGATTTTCATTTTCATTGGTTAACTAACTGAAAAAAAACATACAGGTGTTCCCCTTTTTTGTCAATATAACTTTACTAAACTGTAACACGTATTTCAGTTTTGTGAACTGTTATCTTGCATTGAAGTTTTACTTGATTATGTACATAATATTGTTATCAAGCATGTGCTACAAAGAGGTGTATATGTACAAGTTGGATACATTTTTTATGCCAATTTCGTTCAAGCAAATCATCATTTCTGGACAATTTAGTAATTTGCCTCAAATACTTAGTTTAAACACCTTTTTGATTTTGGAGGCATGAGAATTCATAAATATTGAGGTTTGAAGGCTCTAATAATATAATAAATTTATTTGGTAGAGTGAAAAACTAGCAAACAATATACAAGCTTTTATTTATGTAATGGCACCATACAACTGTATATAACATATACATATTCATAAATGTAGTAATTCGTGTCATTATAACAGGTTAAAATATTTAAAAAATAATGGAATTAAAATATCAGACTAGCAGAAATATACATACACAACTTACAATAAATATTTTGACACTACAAATTGTGTGTAAAAAATTAAGAATTTAAAAAAATATCTTTGGTATTCCTAAGTAAAATAAACAGTTTCTACAAGCATTTTGAAAAATTACAGTTTTTTTTTCAAGATTAGGCATTTATGTTTCAACTAGACTTGAATCACAATATATCAGTTTTCAGTTATGAGGATACATATATAAATAAATTAGATCTTCAATAACTTAATAATACTAACTTTTAACAAATCAAAATAGAATAAAGATCTAATATATATTACATATTGTAGCACAGAAAGTATCAATAAATTTGATTTTGTTTTCCAATGAAAATAACCTGAAGAAAAAACAAATCAATATTCAAGTTATAATCGGATTGAATCATTTTTTGTGTTATCATCAAAGGAAAATAGGCCAATTTCACCAACATTCACTACAAGACTATAGTCCGATTGGTATTAATGAGTCTAGATGATTGATTTGTTTTTTGTTGGATATGAAAATTTAATCCACGACTTCTGAATTGTATTACTTTTGGGAAGTGATCAAATTTTATGATTTCAGATTCAAAATTTATTATCTGAAATAAGAAAGGAGATATAATGTGCATTTTAATTAACTTGACCTAACCTGAAGTGTTATTTTGAATCTTTTTCGATACAACCACCGCAAATAACAGGTTTGAGTCCATCATTTCATAATCTTTCTGCATATTAAATTTTTGAAAAATGTATTTTTTCCTACCGTAGTTTTAGACGTTCCTAGCAAAAATAGAACTCCGCAAAACATTTATAAAAATTTGGATGAATGCTTTGAAGAGGTATAAATTGGGTGTATAAAAAGGTCAAGTTGTTACCTATAGATTCATGGTTCTTAGTAAATTGTGATAAGACAAAAACTATTCATGAATAATGTAGCTTAGCCTTTCCAACTGAAGAAAGATATACACGAAAAATCTCAGAAGTATTTCCAAAACTAATTAATGGTTTTGTTTCAGATGATAGCATAATAAAACATACTATTTATTTAAGACAAGTTACCATTGGAATGCATAAAAAGGATATGTGACCTACAACTTTCTTTCAAAAAATCACATGTTAGATACAGAATGTAACCAATTATTTCATGTGCCACAAACTTGGTTATTGCCATATGAAAGTGAAAATTAAACCTACTAATATCAAACAAGATATAATCTTTTGTAGAGAAAATATGAAAAAGATTTTTCAATACATGAAACTCCTTAAAGATTCAATATTTTCAGAAAACTCCTTACTTTAGAAAGCACCATACATATTAATTTCCTGTTTCAGACAACAAAAGCAGAAATTTTGGTTTGATAAATCAAAATTTCAACATTAGAAGTCCTAATTTCGAGTTTACATTCAAAATTTCAAGTCAGTACAGGTATTATTTCAAAAATAAGAAATAAAAATATATGGAACTTGCTTGGAAAACGCTTAAAGGAGTGTATCTGAAGAACACACACAAAAAATCATTCATCAATACAAAAATTAACAACAAACCCATTTACAAAAAGAAACCTATTCATTACTGTATAGTACACAATTGTTTTTTCATTTCTGATTCGCTCTCATCATAATCTTCTATAGGCACTTGTTTTCCATTCGGTATCACTTTAGGTAAGTATGGTTGATAATCAAGCCCGGATCGCTCATAAAATAAGATATACGCTGAACTAGTGTCTATTTTCGGAACCTTGACTTCTGTGTATGGGCATTTGTAGCTATTCAGAGACTTCCTGCTTGAATATGGGGAATCTTTTAAAAGTTTTTCATTGATCATATCGGAAGCAATTCCAAGTTTGTCGATTGAATTGGCTGAGTTAGAATGTGAGCTGTCCAAAGTTTCCGTTGAAGCAGCTGTCGCTAAAGTTTCAAAAGTTCCAATTGAAGGGGTTTTATCTTTTTTATCTTGTTCATCAGAAGTATTGCTGCCAGTGCTTAGTTTTCTTGCCATGATTTTTCTCCTGCTCAATGGAGTACAACCAGAGCTTTTGGAATTCGTAGATGATATGGATTTATGTGTGTTTGTATCAGAGTCTGTTATAATTTCACGACAGGAGCTGTCATTGTAGCAGTACCAATGTCCATTTGGATTGCAGGCGTAGGAGATGTAATGACCCCCATTCATCAGTCCAGAATGGCTCTGTAATGAAAATTTTCATTCAGAACATTTGAAAATTCTGATTAACGTTCATATATGTAGGGATTATAAAACTAGGTAAACATGTACCTACAATAAATTAAAAACCAAATAATCAATTAACTATATACCTTTCAAAAATCAAACTCTTGCATTGCAAGATACTCAAATTCAGTACACTAGTTCAAGTTATTATTGAAAAAAAAATTTGAGTAACTATTACCTCATTGTCATATTGGATGGTAGGGGTTGCGTTTTTTGATAATGTCGCAAACCATGCCGGTGATAACTTAGCTACTGGCAGGGCCTCCCAAGTCAAATGGATCAAGGGAAAAAAGCCTGACGAAGAAAAGAACTTCCCCCTGCAGCAACAGAGGTTAGACAAAGTCTGCGGTAACCCTTGCCTGTTGTAAGAGGCAACTGACAAGTGGACTTATCCAATGGTGTTATGCTGAAGGATGAATGGTGCCAAAGCATACGGGTTACCAGGGGATCTCTCAGAATATTTTGTTTCACATACATGTAGGAAGCTCCATGGATGTCGACAACATTCGTGGAAACTTAATAGACCACAACTACAAACGAAACGACTCTTCGAGCAACTCCTCTGACTTGCAATGAGAGTAGTTCAAGTCACAGCAACACGGTGAGGGGCTTCAGCGGTCCTTACAAAGGTAATGGTAAAGTTTGATATTACCTTCATACAATACAACATCAACCAAGAACATTTTTATTGAGGGACTGTAGCACTGGTACTAGGCTATGAGAAGGAACCCCATCTTTGATTCGATGAAATTGTTAAAGCCTAGCATAACTTGATTATTCAGCAAATTGAAACATCCTCCACGATTTGAAGTTGCTTCCAAAAAGGATGGTTTTATAATATGGTTATCAAAAACTCCTGCACAAATATTAAGTTTTTGTGGATATCATATGTGAATTTGTCGTGTTATATTTGGGATTTGAATCATTCAAGTAATGTAAATTTTGATGATTATCTTGCCCATTCAGATAAAAGGTACATTATGTTGAATCATATTAGTTCAATTCATGAACCATTTTCATTTTGTAAGGATGCAGTTTGTGTTGATGAAAAATTCCAACATTTGTATGACTCATGCCTGATGGTTGGGATAACTTAGTCAAAGACTGCCTATTTTCCATTAAGGCAACATGGCCTAGACCTGCATCAATAATGCTTTCGTTATTGACTTTTTTGAATGGTCAAGTTGTCTAAATTAGAGTTACCACTTTACATGAATCTATGTAAAAATCAATTCAATTTCTAGATGAGTCTTGTTGAAAACACAAGCAATGGCCCTTGCACATCTTTCATATTAGTGGTATAAACCCTCTATTTCAATCCGCTTTTGAAGGGTATAAACCATTTTTTATAGAAGAAAAGACAGTGAACAAAATAATAACTCGAGTTCAAACAGAGCAAAAATAAAAAATAACTTTGATAAAAATATCGACTTCAGTAGTAACTACTTGATGCAATTTAGGGTCATATTCTGTACCAAACAAAAAATGTTCTACAGTGAGTTCTTATTTCTATCATTTTCATTATAGTCATTCAGTTTGAACATTTCAAATAGTGAAGTTGTGTGCTTGGAAATGAATGAAAACTCAAAAGAGTATTTTATTTTTTCGACATTTTAATATCAATAGTGTTACAGGGTTGGATACAGAATTAGACCTTTCAAATGATGCAGCACTCTACTATTATTTTCATTTCAAATTTTTGACATGAGGGTTTTTAGGAAAGGAGTGGCTGACAAGGAGGTTACGTAGAAATGTGTTCCCCTAAAAACCAAAGGTGATATTATTCACGATTTTTTATAGTCTCAATAACAACTGACTCATTTCCAGTGGCTTGTTTGAACTGTATATTCTAGATATGAATTAAAATAATGATGTAATGCCGACAGTATTGTGTCTAGGTGTTAGTGAAATTGCAAAGACTATAATTAAATAGTTAAGTGTAAGGAAATTCTATTTTTATGTGAGGTTTGCATACACTTCTTTTGGACGCCATCTCCAAAATATATAGGAAACTACTACTCTTTGACCTATAGACCTTTTCATCATAAAACAAGCGCAAGCGTAGCAGTCATATTGATATGGAGGTAATTCAAAACATTCGTACTGCTTCAATCAACAGTGGCCGGGCAAGGAATATTATCTCTACAAACAAATAAATTATTGGAAAAAACCATTGATGGTGCTTCACTTGTTTATAATTCAGTTGAGGCTTATAATTGTGAACAATTAAAAATGCGGTTAAAACGTCCGCAAAAAGGAAAAAAAGTGAGATGATTGAGAGGTTAGGTATCAGCATTTGTTTACTATCTAAAAACATATAAAAAAATAGTATTTACAGTTTTATTCTTATTAATAATGTCAATTTATTTGATGTAATTGAAAATATATTCCAGTTGACAAGAGTATTACTTATGGAACTAATAAATAAATCAAGCCATTAATATTTTGAGGCTGTACATATGACATTATTAATTAGACAAATATGCAAATACTGTATTGAATATGTTTAGTAATTTTTATTAGAGGAAACTATTTAATACAACATAATATATATGAAATTTACAGTCAAAATGCAATAAGAAATAATGTATGTATGTTGAAACTCCTGATAGCTTAAAGGATCAGGGTTTTGTTCAATTGGACCAATTTCTCCAATGAAATGTAGTAAGCAAATATAAGTATTCTTGATAACATCATCGATAGATTTAAAGCCTCGGTCACTCCTGCCACATTTTTTCACCCATAATTCACATTTTGCACATGCTTTAATATGTAATTTGCTTGATGATTTGATTATTTTTTTGCAATATTCAAGACAAGGCTTTGGAAAATTTATAAAATAGTATGTGTTGGTTTTGAATAAAAAAACAGTACGAAAAAGATGGCTGATACTGACGCATGCGCACAAAAAAATGTGATGAAAAGGCCTATTCTCTATAGAAATACCCAATTACTTTATTATACTGATTTGCAAAATTCTCAAAACACAATTGAAAGTTGAGAATTAATATGATTTTTTGTTTTATATTAAGACTATTCAAGAGTTGATCATCCCAAAATTATCATATACATTTTTTTTTCACTTGTAACATACTTTTTCTTGAGCAAACTGCTGTTGTAATATGGATATGCAATATGAATAGTAAAAATATTTTGAGAGATATAGAAAGAAATAAAACTCACCACAACTGCATAGAGCTGATACTTCAAATCAAACTTATCTTGCCCTGGTAATAATTGATGCTGGTGATAATCTTTCAAATGTTCATCGATTATGGGTGTTTTCAATAAACTTGTCGATTCCAATCTACCACGAACTTTATCCACTTTATCACTAACTTTATTTTTATTGGAAACTTTACTATCACTTTTGTTCAGAAGTTTACACTGTTCTGTAGATCCATTTGGAGAATTGCTACTCACTGATCTCTCTTTTTCCTTGTTCGAACTACCACATTCAATCTCCTCTAGAATTCGTTCTGGCAGACTCTCTTGCGACATTTCCAACTCTTTTGCTTTCTTTTCTTGAAGCTGTTTGTGACGCAGGATTGTCTCCTGAGGTACAGAAGCTAAATAGGCTGTTGGATCAAAGTTCTTGAAAGGAAAATTAACCACCTTTTGTGTCTTCACCCATTTGGTGTGAACGTAGTCAAACCGCTTAAGATGAATAATCTGAAAAAGTGCAGTGATATTTTTGATGAAAGGTTTTTGACAAGTGAAACTTAGGTATTAGGAAATTTTATGTAAAGTGCTTACAAGAATTGGCGGTAGCCTCCAGATCTGTAGCTTTTTGGTAGCAGGTTGTTTATCTTGACAATTGCTGCAGTGATATTTAGCTTCTAGCCTCTCTTCTGAAGTGAAAGCTTTCAAGCAATAATCCAAATCGATAGGTTCAGTGTGTAGCTTTCTACAAATAGCTACTGATTCATGTTCAAGCCATAACTACAATTAAAGTAAAATTAATAATTATTTTCCATCTACGAGACTCCAAAACCTACCCTTTCTCTGCTGCTTTGATATCGTAAATGGAGAGCTGTTGGATCCCAATCTATAGAAACACACATGTTGTTTTGAGCACCATTACACAAGTCGACAACAAGTTCATCTGTACAAGGTATAGTACAACCACGACAAAATTGGGTCCAGTGGCAGATAGCACAAATCTGACCACCTTGAAGAACAGCTTTCAAGATAAAAGGGAATTCATAACCTAGTGAATCATCACTGAAATAAAAGTATAATTTCATTCATCTTACTAAAAATTTTACTTCATTATGAGTTTGTAAGATATTCAAAACATACCAGTCAGTTGCATGGTTGGTTTGATCACTTTGAGGTAGAGGGCTCAGTAACCTCGTGACTTGGCCCCAAACAGCTTCATACAAACTTTGACAAGTGCTTTTTTCACTGAAACCTAGCAAAAGAGGTATACCAAATAGACTAGGCTTGCTTTTCTGTTGCGAAAGAAAATATGTTTCTTGTCTTACACATTTTCTGTGCACGGTAACCAGGTACGAAGGACACTTTTGGCTGGATTTAGAAGAAACTAAAAAAAATAGACCTTTTCATTTCAGTTTCTAGTGGGTCGTTCAAGTATTACGTAGGCACTATAGGGGGGCGGGGGGTCTGTGTTTTGCTTATTTTTTATGACATGGGGGGCGGGTAGGTCTAGATGGTGATTTCGCCAGCAGTAGTTATTTGCTTTTTTACACATATGGCAACCCACATTGTCTATGTTTGAAAAAATGTAAAAATGCATATAACAATGTTTACATATGCACCGGAGAGAGGTAAGAGCTTGCTTTGCCCAGTTTTGCTGACAAGGGGGATGAGGGGATAAATAATTGCAATAAATATGCTTATGTAATACCTGAACGGCCCCTATGTGAGAACAGTAACTATGTATAAATATAAAAATATACCAACCTGAGGTAGTTGAAGCATTGGAATGTATAGAAATTGAGCTTTTTTTGAAAGATATATTGCTTAATCTAGGTTCTTGAGTCATTTGTTTGGATTTATTGTTCTGGAAAAAAAATATCACTGGAAAAATCTAGATAGAGATGAAGTATATAGTCAGTAGTTTCATAACATTTACACTTCCATTTTAAATATTTTCTTTTAAAATATTCTGTTATGTTTCATAAAAAAGTTATGATTGCAACAGTGAAATAAATATAAGAAATTTTAGAATAGTGAAAAAAAAACTAAAATTTTCTTTACATGTGGTTAAAAACCAAAGTCAAATTGGAAACATAGAAAAAAGTTTTTAGCTTTTGTCTGATTCCAGATTCAATTTCAAACTATCTCATCTACAATAACTGAATAATTCATAATTACAATATTTATATCCTATAATTTGGTAGGTAGATCTGAAAGCACTGAAAACACTTTTCGCATACCTGAACAAAAATACTGTCTCTCGACGCGCGCTTCGTTAACTAAGTTAGTATCAGGAGATGACTAAAATGTCTTAGCTGTCTCTTGATGAAGCCTACTTGCATGGAAAGTGTTTTCAATAAATACTATGTATTATTTCATAGATTGTTTCGTGACATAGTTCATTGTGTGAGTTTTTAGGGAATTATTTTATATGTAAATATGTTTGAGTTTGATGCAGTTGTGAAACCTTTAGACGATTAATCTATCTACCAGTCATTTTTTCTGCAGCCAAATCTTTATATTTATAGTTGGGACGAGAAAATATACTTCCGGCATTTGGGTGATGGTTTGCTCTCACAACATCATCAGTTCTCAGATTATGAAACTAACTAACTAACATATTACTATAGTTTGACAGTTTACATTGTTTACTTATTATTTATTGAAAAGTTTCTATAGCTTCAATTTTTTAATACTACACAAATAGTTGTTTTACAAATAATAAACTGAGTATTTCATATTTGATAGTGAGTAAATTTTATAACGTGATTATAAATTTTTACCCCAAATTGGGAATGGATCTGTCTAATGTTCAACATACTGGAATATTAAACTTGTCAGATGTTTTGGTATTAAAATGAAATATAAAATGATTCTTTACAGAATAATTAATAAAGTACTGATCAATTTTATTAGTTATTTCCAAAAATAAACACAATTCTTTATTAAAAGGTTGGGATGTTTAGAGCTGCAGCCATATCTTTTCCTTTTCATTGGTTTATGCCAGTTTGTGGACTTATATCGCATAGAAAAAATTATGATGCTTGTGCATTATTTCATTGTTTCAACTATGTACAGCTGAATCAATTTTTTGGAAGCTTTCAATTTTTTTTTGACAGTTCAACTTTCGACTTTTCAGCTCAGAAGTGGTATGTTTGTATACATAATATTTCATTACTTCAATTTCGAAATATTACATATCCATCATAATGACACTTCTCACAATTTTTAGAGTTTTGATTCATTAACATTTGGTAAAAATTCTAACAATATCTATTACTGAACTTGAAAAATTAGGGTTTTAGGTTCCAATACACTGGTTTAAAATGCTACATAGACCTATTATTAACTATTGCTGACTCATTTTATATTTTTAGATCACAACTTTTTTTAAGAATTCGTTTGGTCTTCACAATCTTTGTGGATCTCTTTGATTTGAAGTATAACATATAGCACCTTCTTACTATGCAAAAATATTTTGTAAGCCCACATAATGAAAACGAAAAACGGTTTTTCATGTTTGATTCTATCCAATACAACACATTATCGGGAAAGCGCATTACTAGTAATTTTTTAATGAAGATTTGGAAGAAATAGTTGTATAATGTTTACAGTTTTATATAGAATTTTGAATTTTTGCATTGACTCTTCAACTTGTAGGCAAATTTTATGAATACAACAAGTTACTGAATAATTGAACTCTTCAATGTTTTATATTACACAGTAACTTTTTAAGGTGAGCTTTTCAGTTTGCTTTTTTTTACATTCCAGCAGATTCTGAATTGATTTAGATTCGTGTATTTTTGTTACCATTTGTATTATGCTAAATTCGGTAACAGAAAACAAGAAACGGAACAATTTATTTAGATTATCACATGTACATTTTGAGCAAACGTGAAATCATAAAACAATGTATTACTATATACTATATTTCTATAAATTCTAAGTACGATATAGTTTTCAGGAGAGAATAGTTTTTAGGAAAAAAAGCTTTATTGCTTTCTACTTCTCCATACTGATATAGAAAATGTAGAAAACTACTGAAGAACGGAAAAAGGTTCAAAATAAACTCTTCACAAGATGTGTAGATCAAGAATAGAAGTTTCTTTAAGGTACAAACTGGAAGAAAAAACACTCTCAAAACAACTACTCTCACATGAACACTGAATTATAAAAAAAATGGCCTAGAAATGTTTTTAATATGAATTACGTTGAAAAATCACACCATTATTAACTCACATTGTGATGTTTGGAACTGTTTGGAACCTTTGGTGCAGTAATGAATATTACTGGAGTTTTTTCCCAACACCAAACAGTTATTTTAACATCTCGACACGTGTTTCGATCACCAAGTGATCATCTTCAAGAAGAAGATCAAACTAAATAATGTTAAAATAACGGTTTGGTGTTGGGAAAAAACCTAATTTAGTCATATTTTCAATAAGTTTTGTTATCACCTACTGTTATATAAAAGACACTGTAAAATAGTTTCATGTACCAGTAACTGATGCAGCTACCATGTAGCGAAATATGTTTTGAATAAAATTTATTGTGCACATTCTAATTATTAACATGGATAGTGTTATTAATTTCCATCACCGAGTTAGAGTATTCAAAACTTTTTCAACTACTAACTATTTACAAATAAGGTTTGAAAAAAAAACAGAGATTGTTAAAATCAAAAGTTCATGAAGGAACTTCCACCCATTCATTACGTAAGGCATATCAGTGTGAGATTTACTGAAATTTATTATTATAGAAATTGAGAACCATTATAAATATTTATGAAATATATTAATACTGTGAAAAATGTTCATAATTTTTTCATATTTCAATAAAAAGATATATTATAGCAAAGAATTTTTAATGCCATTATTTTATATATTAGGTAACCATAAATAATTCAATTGAAAATGTAATAGGTACTTTAAGTAACAGAAATGTTCATTTCTCGTGAATGGGTTTAACTTTTTTATGAGAAACTTTGCTTTTGGATATTGTTAAAACTTTCTTTAACAATCTATTTTCTCAGTCAATTTATTTCTGAACTATTTCATGAGTCAGATGGATAGATACAATTATTTTAAATTATGAACAGATTGACCCGTTGCCTGACGTAAATTAATAACACTACCCGTGATAATAAATACATAATTTTCACAAATATTTTCATTTCTAGACGCGTTTCGCTACCACCGTAGCTTCCTAGTTGATTGCAAGGATATATAAAATTGATCTGATGATAGGATATCAAAAACTCCAAGTCACTAGGTGAACTTTTACAAACTAGATAAAAAAAAGATGAAGTTAGTTACTATTCACCAAAACAACGAACCGTTATAATGATATTGGAATAAACACATAGATGAAAACTAGATATACAATAAAACAAAGTTTTATATTTTTATTTTTGTTTGTTTTTTGTCAGTAGTGTTTCATAGTCGATGGTCATGAAGTCACTAACATTTGATATGAACTTGGCAATACCGTTAAACTTATTAATATTGCGTAAAGAATTTTTTCTTTGTGTATTCTTGTTGTTCTGCTGTGCATGCTCGTTTTTGAGATTGATTTGATGGTAAGTTCTCAAAGTAAGAAGCATTTCATATCACGAAAGACAGTCTTCATATTTGAAATTTTGTTAAAGTGATATTTGATTGAGTAGTACTAATTGAATAGTTATGTCGATATTCATTCAAGCACTTTTTTCTGCTTTACAAAAATCGTATACATTTTGGAACAACATTAGAAAGGGGCGATTAGTTTAAGTGGTAGTGACGTCCCAATCATTTTTGGAACATCGATTTTAATTGGATATGAAAAAATGTGGATGTTATTTCCTGATTATGAACTATTTTCTTGAAATACTTATGAATGATATTGATTTTACCTTTTTTTTGAATGTTTAAAGGTCTATTGATAAACTATATTCTTTCAACATCCATGTTCTCATACAATTGTTGGTAATGAGGTTTCAATAATAATAATACTCATGAACTACTTATTTTGAGTTCATTCCAAAATATTAAGTAGCGTAAAAACGTGTTGAGGTACTCACTTTGATATAGATCTTTCCAATTTATTCACACAAACTAAAGTTTGTTGACAACATAGACAGAAATAAAATGATAATAATAATAATAATGTTAATAATCTCAATTTATAGCTATAAAACTTATGAGAAATACAAAAAAATATCAAGGTTTGATAGATGAGGGTAGATGAACATACATAACCTAAAATAATTTCATATCCGAGTAAAACGATGCACCTTCACATGAACAGAGAGAGTAACGATATCTAGCGTTTTTTTTAATCAAGTGGCTCACATAAGCAAAATATGGGTCTCAGATTTGCATGAAAATTCTACATGTATGAGTCGCTACACCAGTGTACAGGCATCTAACTACTAATAAAATGAAAATATTTTTAAACGACTACTTCACAAAGGTATTACATTTGAATAATACTGTTGAAATATTTTGAAAGCTGCCAGACTAATACTGCATTTAGCAAAAAATTGTACTCATCATAGTCATAAATTCAAATAACTGTCATCAACAATAAGCTAGAAACATAACTATTGAGGATTTCGATAAAAAATACGAGTTATACAAATGAGATGATTATTGATAAACACTTAGACAAATTAATTGAAAGCTGTTCGTCACAGAAAAAATACTTTTTTTTTTAAGATAAAGGGTATTGTTAACTTGGATCTACCTAAGCCAAGAATTCATTATATACACAATAAATACCAAACTACAGTTCCAAGGAAAACCTACAAATTTAGAATGAAAACCATGAGTTCAAACAAATACGAGGTCTGTTCAAAAAATAGGGTGAATGTTCAAATTTCGCGAGCTACCTTCATTCTATTAGCAATTTTGTAATTTTTTTTTGTTGGTAAACTTGTCTTGAACACATGTTCACAGTTCCAGCTGTTTAGCATGGTTAGTTCGTTTATAAGAGGCATAAAAATTAGGAAAACCACTTGAAATGTTGACAGTGGCATACAGTGATTGTATTCTGATCCTGAAAAACGTTTACAAGTGGTATACAAATTGTACTGTTTATACTTTTTTGTTTTTACNCCTATCTTTTTTTTGATGAGGAATCACCTCCCTAAATGTTTTACACTTATTCAGTTACACCCTGTATATGCTATATGCCTAGCTTATAAAGTACTAGTTTAGGTTTTGATTTTAGTTTTGATTCAAATTCTGGACATATTCTGATAGCTCACATCAAGTGCCAATAGCAAAATGTGGACAGATTTTTAATATGTTTGCGAATAGAGAAGATACAGGCAAAAAAATTAATTAGGATTTTTTGTTTTTTTTTGTATATCTCCAGAACCAAAAGAACTTTATTTGATTTTTTCTCATCATTGAATAGGCCTCTAAAATACATAACTTTGCCACAATTTAACCAAAACACTATCTCTTATTGTTAACGAGATTCCCATGCACAGAAACGAATTTGAATAGCCCTGTATATATACAGGGTAATTCAAATTCGATCCCCACCATTGGGATCTCTTAAACTACAGACGATACATCGAAGCTTAAATTAGGGCAAAGTTATGTTTTTTTGTGCTTAACAAAATCCGATGTTTCTGGCAATCACCATCATATTTTTTTATAATGGGCGCCATATTGTTTTTTTATACATAAAAATAGTGCTTCTCAATCTGATTTCATTGATGGATAATTTGTTGATTTGCTCTTCTGAAACCACAGTTATTAAAAAAACAATTTCATCTAAGATGGTCATGACTGCATCGAAAAATTTTCTTTAATGAACACTAGTTGTCAGAACTCATCAATCATAGGTTTGCACAAATCTTCTCATTCTCAAATGAAGAAAAACGATATATGCTAATCGTCCCAATGGAAGAGTCCAGGAGAGCCAAGACAAAAAAAAAGCATGACAAGTTCGACCAAATGTCAAGGAGTTGCTAAGTGTTTTCTTTGTCTACCATGACGTAGTACATGAGGTGTTCTTGCCACATGGTCGTACAGTCAATAAGGAATATTATCTTGAAGTTATGCGCTGCTTGCGAGAAGCAATAGAGATAAACATTCGGTATTGTGGAAAACAATTCATGACTTTTGCATCACCAAATTTAGCCCCATGCGACTTTTTCCTGTTCCCAAGATTAAAGAGACTCATGAAAGGACCCGGTTTTGCGACGATTGTGGAGATAAAAACCGAATTGCTGAGAGAGTTCAAGGACATACCAAAAAGTGCATATCAGAACTGCTTCGAGAATTGGAAAAGATGCTGTGACAAGTGTATTATATCTGAGGGGGTCTACTTTGAAGGGTAAAAAATAGACATTGATGAATAAATGAATATTTTTAAGAAAAATGATCATTTATCTATTTTTTGAACATACCCCGTAATAGTCAGAATTTGAATCAAAACTAAAATCAAAACCTAAACTAGTACTTTATAAGCTAGGCATATAGCATATACAGGGTGTAACTGAATAAGTGTAAAACATTTAAGGAGGTGATTCCTCATCAAAAAAAAAGATAGGATCTTTCATATAAAGAAATTTCATTGGAGCATCCCCTGTTAAGATACAGCCCCTTAAAGGGGGTACATAAAATTTGTATAACAATTTTTT